GGAAGTAGGATTGCCCAACCTTCCTTCCGAGGAGTGACTGGTGGGTTTGAACCGCCAGCCTTCTGGTTAGCAGTCAAATGCTTTAGCCACTATGCTACCAGAGCTCCTGGCCATGGTAGGCAGAATGAAAAAGGCCTTTGGACCTTGAGAATCCTGTTGGCAGGAAGCAAAGCTGTTCAGCTGCAGCCATGTGCTACCTTTTATCGAAAAGAATGTGTCAGGGTGGACCCAAGGGCCCTGAGAGTGGAGCCGAAAGCTGTTCATAATTCTTCTCAGGCTTTGAGAACTATTCAGGGAACTTCCAGCATTGACCCAGCTGAATGTCAGAATTGCTGTGGATCAGTGACTCCTAACCCTATTTTTGACCAGGAATGCTTGTATGCCTGAAGTTGTTCTCCTGTGCCCGTCCCACCATTATATGGCTGTGGGGGACGGGGGGAGGAAAATAATCTGTGCCTTTATTTTCACAGGTCTACAGATTGAGAGGAACTGTACTTGGGGAGATACACATAAGGAACTACATCTAAGGTAACTAATCCCTAGCTAGGCCTGATTTAGATTATGAGATTCTGGCTTCAGCTATGCTATAGAGTGGGAGGCTTTTGAACCCCTTCAGAGGGGAGGGTGCATTTTGCGTGTGGAAAGGACATAAATCTTGGATGCCTGAGGGTAAATGGTTGTATGAAGCTTATGAGATAGCTCCACTCCTGATTACCACGTCCTGCTATTCATACCCTTGTGTAATCCCCCCCTGCCCTAGACCTGCAGACTCACCTCTAGTGAGTGCAGGACGGCAAAGGGATAGAATGTAACTGCTGAGATTAGGTTACCGAAACGTTGTGTTTTCCAACTGCTGAGATTAGGTTACGGAAATGTTGTGTTTTCCATCTTGGGCTCCTTCTCTTGCTCTCTGGCTTACTTGTTCTGAGGAACGCTAGCTCAGTGAGTTGAGGAGTCCATATGGCAAAGAACTAATGTCTGGTCAACAGCCAGTGAAGACCGGAGGCCTGCCAGCAACCATATGAATGACCTTGGAAGTCGATCCTCCTCTTTTTGAACTTTGAGATGACTGTAATCCTGACCAACACACCTTAAGTACACCTTTGTTAGAAACCATTCCTACCTAAGCCACACGGATTTCTGACCTACGGAAACAGATAATAGATATTTTGTTATTTTAAGGTGTTAAAATTTGTTATTCGTTGATTGATAACAATACAGTGACGTTCGAGTGTGTCGATAGGATTTGAATGTGAAGGTACATGGAAGTGATGGGATGTTACAGCCAAAGGGAGCAGATTGATCAAAGAAGTGGAGAGGAGAAACAGCAGCTCATTTTGGAGGACAGTAGGACTTAAGAAAGGGATCCTTTCTTGGTATGATATAAGTTCTTAAATGTCAAGCTATGGGATTTAGATTGTATATCTCAATAAATCTATCCCAAATTTGTTTTCTTGTACAGCCTAGGGAACTACCCTCTCATTTGCCATAACTTCCAGATTTAAATAACAATAAATATGATGGAAAATAAAGTTGAATTTTATTGCCTACCAATGCCTGAGTGTCTCCTTTCTTCCCAAGATGATAGGTGTTAAAAGCATATTAGGGTGCACAGGGAGACAGCTAAGGGGGCAGGAGTGCATAGGGAAGGACACAGGAAAGAGTTAACTAGGAGGAGAAAGTGGGAGAGGAGCTGTTGCATTGTGGGAAATTGTAGTCAATGTCATGAGACAAAGTGTATGTGAGCTGCTGTGTGGAAAGTGAATTTGCTCTGTAAATTTTCACCCAAATCACAATTTAAAAAAAAAAAAGTATTAGGGGAATTCTGCCTCCATGAAGATTTTATGTGCTGAAGTCAGTTCTGACTCATGATGACCCTGTATACCTCGTAACAAAACACTGCCCACTCCTGTACCATTCTCATAGTTGTTGCTATGTTTGAGCTCATTGTTGCTGCCACTGTATCAGTCTATCTCTTTGAAGATCTTCCTCTCTTTCACTGACCCTCTGCCAAACATGAAGTCCTTCACCGGGGACTGGTATCTCCTGATAGCATATCCAGAATTCTTAAGAGGAAGTCTTGCCATCCTTGCTTCCAAAAAGCATTTTCCCCTCTCCCTCCCTCTAAGTTGCAAATAGGGAGCTGTGGTGGTGCAGTGCCTAAGGCATTTGCCTGCTAACCATAAGATTAGTGGTTCGCACCTAGGGTGGCTCTCTGTAAATCTGAATCAACACAGTGGTTGTGCATTTCAAGTTGAAAATATCATGGAATGCCAGAAGAATGCATAAATCTGTCCTGGAAGTACAGCTGGAATGCTCCTTAGAAACGAGAAGGCCAGACTTCATCTTGGTACTTTGGTCATGTAAGAAGGACCAGTTCCTGGTGGAGAATGTTATGTTTGGTAAAATAGAGGGTCAGTAAAAAAAGGGGGAAGACAAGACCTTCAGTGAGGTGGAGTGACGCAGTGGCTTCAAAGATGGGCCCAAGCATGGCAACAATTGTGAGGATGGTGTAATACCAGGCAGTGTTTCATTCTGTTGTACATGGGGTGGCTATGAGTATGAACCCACTTGACAGCACCTAACAACAAGAAGTGCTAAAAACCCCAGAAGAATACATCTAATCTCCATAAACCAAACCAAACCCACTGCCGTAGAGTCGGATCCAACTCATAGCAACCCCTCCTTGGGTTTCCAGGGCACTATCACTGTGGAAGTAGATTGCCCAACCTTCCTTCCGA